AAACTTTTAATATTAAAAATGAGGAGGCTACACCAATCCTTAGTCTAATTTGTAAACTGCAACAAACGGCATCAAGACACTTCCAATCCAAAGTTTTCCATCCTTCTCCTCGACTTCGCTCACAACTTTAACTACATTTCCTTGTTGTCCTCCAAAATCTTTAAAAGTTTACCTTTAGGGTTGTACTTCATGATCACTGCTTGAGGAGAGCCTCCAAGTTGTATCAGATAATGGAGCTTCACAGGAATTGGAAGCTTCAACTAGAACAATCTGAGTTTTAGGTATAGAGCCAATAAATGAGCATATATGGTTCTTTGACTGTGAGTTTTGGGTATAGAGCCAAAAATTGATGCCATCAACACTACTGCCACTGCCAATATCCTCACCCTGTGACTTGAATATGTTCAAGTCACAATCAGTCACAAAATTGGCCACAATCAGTCACAGTACATACATATTTGGTCACAAATGGTCACCACAAACAAATCCACTTACACCACGGACCAGCACCAGTCAGATTGAAGGTTCCGGTTGGCATAAAAAAGATTTTGGGGATATCTTGCTTAACGCATAAACATATTCTGGGATAATTGCTTAACGCATAAACATACAATTAGGAGTTTCATCACAGTTTTTCCCTCTACAAAACTAGGAACCATGTGCTTTCACCCTTTACCTACACTTCTAAAACTTGGTGGTGTCTGCATATTGTTTTTTCCCTTTCTTGTTGCCAATTGCTTTTTTCCCTTTCTTGTTGCCAATGATTTCTGTGTGTTTAGACCTCTGCATGAGATGATCTGAAAAAATATTGAAGATTCATTCCCTTTTACCCTCTTCGATTTCTTCTTCTGGATCAGATGTCTCGCTGTCATCCTTCCTGTTTTACTTTACTAAACTGATACCTTTCGAAGTTTCTCTACATAAGGATTCAATTTTATTCATCGTCGATCTCGTCTCCCTTGCCGTCTGAATATGCATAACTGGTGGGAGTTATTGTAAAATTGAGCAAAAATAGTTCCACAGAATAAAATGAAAAAATAAAATATAATTCAGAGAACGTGTAATTGTAAACCTACCGCTGGGAGCTTTGTGATGGTGCCCAGAGATAACAGATAACACAGAGCAAGGAAAATGCAAGAATGTCCCAGAAAGCATTGATAATCCAGGCACTCTGCCACCTTTCATTGAATGGATCTGTTGCTTTAAAGTAAACCTGCAATAATAAAAGTCACCAATTAATGATTTCATGTTCATAATGATTGTACAGGAGTTTCATTAAGTTATCCTTATGTTGAGGGAAAAAAATCTTAAGAATTGGAGAAAGTGGCTAATATTACAAAATTGGGACAATTTTAGATTTCACTCTCTGATTGCTTCTTCGCCGACGGCTTCTTGCGACACTGCTTGCAGCACAAACATTAGCCTTTTCACTAGCCATAGTTCACCAGTAATATTCAAAAGCACACTTTATTTCCTGGTTAATAGCAGCAGATCTAGCGGCAGAGCAGAGCCGCCGCCGCACGTAGTGGTGCCGGAAGTGATGGTATACACTGGGAGAGGAGTGGGTGGTAAAGAGAGAGAAGATATAGAGAAGGAAGAGAATGAATCAGGTTTGGGATTGCTCCTCCACGAGCAGCGGTGCCGGAAATTGGGTGGGGGTAGAGAGAGAGAGAAGGAAGAGAATGAATGGGTTTGTGGATGAATGATTGATTAAATTTTTATTAATTAGAAAGGTAAGAAATACTAAACAAGGTTGCAATTATTTTTACTTAAAAGTAAAAAAGAAAGGTCTAATCTTTTTGTAGATTGCTTACAGTTTTAATTTTATTTATTTGCTTATGAGCAAAGGGTAAACCGATTCCTACCGAGCTAAGGAATGAAGAGGCAGCCCTTCGACAAGAAATTCTATGATGTATAGCTTGAATAAGCATAATATGCTTAGAAGGATTCATGTCATAAAATGTTAAGACCACAACCTTCATTCTTTATCCAAACTTGGTTCCGGATATGAAGAAATGTAGGCGGACTAATATGTTCAATATATATAGTAGTAATTCTTTCTTTGTTATTTTCTAATATTAGATTTGGGAGAAGGAAAATAGGGTGTTAAGTTTGAGATATGAGAGCCTTTCTTAAAATATATGTTAGGAGAATAACCAATAAGAAAACAGAGGCTCCTTTTCATTGAAATTTTGACGAATGAGTGATGAGTGAAAACTTTTGAGAACTATAAAGGATGGATGGATAAGCATCAAGTTGACTTCTTTGGCTCGTATTATTCTGTGAATGGAATTACTGTCATGTGTCTCAATTGAAGCATGCCTTCTAATTTTAGGATTAACTCTTCACAATATTCTGTGTGATGAAGATTGATAAATCTTACAAAATGAATTACTTCTCAATTCACTAAGTATATTTCACACACTTGCAGCAGAGTATTACATGGAGATCTATACAAGAGTGCAAGATCTATTCTAGGAAGAAATGCGTAAAATGAGCCTTGACTGATACAATAATGTAGGCTGTAATTGCACGGCTGTTAAGGTAAATAGAGTTGCTGGAATTTAGGTCCATGATCTTGCGCTCCATGATCTTGTGCTTGAGTTTAGGCGTTTTCCTTTATATGCCCCCGCAAGATTGAGCTGCCATCGGCTAAGCTAATCTTGGTCCTGAGTGAATCTGTACGCTGCCTGGATAATGGTTTGGTCAGTAAATCAGCAAGTTGGTCGTGAGTGTTTACATGATGAACATTGAGGACGCCACGTTGAACCATATCACGAACAAAATGTAAATCAATCTGTATATGCTTCATTCGAGAGTGTTGCACATGATTAAAGCTTAGTTGAGTGGCCCCTAAGTTATCACACAGGAGCTTTGGTGAAGCTTTCAGTGGCAGCCTAAGTTCTTTAAATAAAGAGAGCAGCCATACGGTTTCAGAAGCAGCATTAGCAAGGGATCTGTATTCAGCTTCTGTTGACAAACGCGCCATGGCCCGTTGTTTTTTTGAACTCCAAGAGATAGGATTAGATCCAAGAAAGCTGATATAAGCGGATGTTGAAGTTCGGTCATCGAAATTGCCCGCCCAATCAGCATCTGAGTATGTGCTGAGATCAAAACCTGATTTTTTTCTGATATGGAGCCCAAGAAAAGGTGTTTGCTTCAGGTAGCGGAGAAGTCGTTTTGCAGCAGCCCAATGTGTAACTGTGGGATTGTGCATGAATTGGGATAATTTGTTGACCGAGAAACAGATGTCGGGGCGAGTGAGAGATAGATATTGAAGTCCTCCAATTACACCTCGGTACTTAGTACTGTCAAAGGAGGGAGTGCCGTCAATTAACTTCAATGTGTTGCTGGTAGACAAAGGGGTGGAAACGTCTTTAGCACCTGCCATGTTTGTTTTGGAGAGGAGATCCATAATATATTTGTGTTGAGAGAGAAACAGGCCTGATGAGGTAGGAATGACCTCCATGCCTAAGAAGAAATGCAGTTGACCCATATCCTTTAAAGAGAAAAGAATACCAAGTTGATAGATGATGTGAGACACAAAGTGATTATCATTGCCAGTGATGACCAAATCATCCACATATACGAGTAAATAGCACACAACAGAGTCCTGGTGATAGATGAATAACGAGGAGTCTGCCTTGGAATTTGTGAATCCAAGAGTGACGATGGCCAATTTTAAGGCAGAGTACCAGGCTTGGGGGGCCTGCTTAAGACCATAAATAGCCTTATTCAACCGACAAACATGATTTGGTTTCAAGGCATCTTTGAAGCCCGGAGGTTGAGTCATATACCCAGTTTCCGTTAACTTGCCATGCAGAAAAGCATTATTCACATCAAGTTGTCTCAAGGACCATCCCTGCATCACAGCAACTGTTAAAACAGTTCTAATTGTAGCGGGTTTTACAACAGGGCTAAAGGTTTCTGTGTAATCTAAACCAGGCCGTTGATTGAAACCTTTAGCGACAAGTCTCGCTTTAAAGCGATCAATAGTGCCATCAGCCTTGCGTTTAACACGAAAAACCCACTTGCAACCAATTGGTGTGCAATTTTTCGGTGGATGAACTAGTTCCCATGTGTCATGACGCATAAGTGCAGTCAGTTCCTCAGACATAGCTGTTCTCCAGTGAGGATCACGGAGAGCTTGTCCCACACAGCTTGGTTCAATAGTGGCGGGAAAGGGATGTTTAGTTGCTGAATTTAATTGTTTTGGCTTGTAGATATTGTTCATGGACCTAGTGGTCATGGAGTGGAGGCGGGTAGAAGGCTGAGGTGGGGAATTACAGGATATGGATGGAGTAGTAGTGGGTAAGGCGTTGTCGTGTGTGGGGAGGGCCGTGTGTGAATTTGAGGGAAAATCATCGATTTCACGTGATTGAGGCGAATTGGGATGAGAGGGTAAATGTGGCAATTCACTGAAGTTAAAAGGGAGAGAACTGGGACAATTACCTGAGGGCGGTGTGGAGATGGCGTGACTTCCCGTTGTCAATGGTGGCTGCTCCGGCAAGGGCAACACAGGGATGGGAGATCCTGCAGTCACGGAAGAAGAAGGAGGCGATGAGGATCGTGGCTGGTCCGAATGAAGAAGAGAATGAGTTCTAATTTCATCAAATAGAACATGCCGTGAGGTATAAAACTTTTGGGCCTGTGGGTCAAAATAATGATAAGCATTTTGGGTTGAGGAATAGCCTAAGAAGATACAAGGGGTAGATTTAGGCTGAAGCTTATTAGTGTTATATGGCTTAGTGAGAGGAAAACACAAGCACCTAAATTTTTTAAGTTTGAGATAATTTGGAGGTTGATGAAATAACAACTCAAAAGGTGATTTATTATGTAGGAGGGGTGTTGGCTGACGATTTATAAGATACGTTGCCGTGGAAAAAGCATGGGGCCAATATTTTAATGGTAGAGACGCATCATGTAAAAGAGTAAGACCCGTTTCCACTAAATGACGGTGGCGATGCTCGGAAACACCATTTTGTTGTGGTGTGTAGGGGGCAGTTGTATAATGGCTGATTTCGTGTGTGGAAAAATAGGTTTTTAGAGAAACAAATTCACCGCCATTATCCGAGTAGAGACTCTTGATTTTAGATTGAAACCTATTTTCTACAAGACGTTGAACTTGAGGGAATATGGTACGGACTGTAGATTTTGTTTCCATTGGGTAAAACCAAATATATTTTGTGAAATGGTCGACCAAAATCAAGTAGTATCATGAACCATCAATGCCAACTGTATTGGAGGGTCCCCAAACATCAGTATAAATTAAGTCAAGTGGTGCATGACTTTGAAGACTATTTAGGCGAAATGGTTGCTTGTATGCTTTATTAATAGAGCAAGAAGTACAAAGATGAGAGTTGTGCAAATAATTTATTATGGGAAGAGAAAAATGCTTAATAAGATGATGAACAATTTTATTAGAGGGATGCCCCAGACGTTTGTGCCATCCATCCAAAGTTGCTCGTTCATGCACATTGGCGACCATTTTTGAAGGAGCATTCACCATTGACTTCGGGAAAGTGTAGACACCATTTTCACACGCACCTTTGAGTAGAACCGCCCCTGTGGTTCGATCCTTAACAAGAAAAAACAATGGATGAAATTCAATAAATACATGATTTTGTGAGGTAAAGTGATGCACAGAAATGAGATTTTTACGAATGTTAGGAACACAAAGTGTATCATCTAGGTGAAAGGTGCGTATTGGTGTTTTGAGGGCTAGGGAACCAATGTGTGAAACTTGCAAACCTAAGCCGTCACTGATAACAACTTCATCGGTGCCACCATATTCCGAATGCACNATTCCGAATGCACTTGTAAGTTTTCCAAATCACCAGTTATATTGTGTGAAGCACCGGAGTCAAGAAGCCATGTACTGCCCTTTGTGGATGAGATTTTGGCATAGTTGGAAATTAGATCAGTGGATTGGGCCTTGTTACAAAATTTTGCAGTGTGGCCCAATTCATCACAAAGTTGACATTTGGGAGTATACTTACGCTGTCCAAAAGGCCGGAATTTTCCCTTGTTGTCAGATGGGCCTCCATTTGAACGAGAAGAGCCCATATGGAATTTTGCCCTAGAAGCCCCAATACCGCGACCAGATCCAAATTTGGGGGGTTCCTAGAGGTGTCAATTCGGGTGGTCCGGGCCGGGTCGGCCCGCCAACATGTGAGCCCGGTAAC